TTGGTTGGGGGGGGGGGGATAGTGTTGGTTTGTGGGTTTTTTGTTTGGGTTGGGGTTTTTTTTCTATTTTAAAGCACATAATGCTACAGTTTTATCAGTTTGGTGGTTTTATTCTGAGTACAAGACCTTGAGTTTTGAGACCTGATCACATACCCAGCTTCTGGTCCTAAAGACTGAGTTCAAGTTTGGTGTGGCTTGACAGTACCTGGTGCTCCTGGGAAGCGTGGATCTCGCTGGAGTGGTGTCAGGGGCCAGGGTGAGGCCGTGGGAACCAGGCCTGGGACGGGCTTGCCTGTGCTGCATCCTCACAAGGGTTCCTGGTTGAGCCATCCCTGCGAGCACACCTGGGTGTGAGCCCTCCCGATAGAGGCCACGGGAACAATTGAACACGGAAATACCGTGGACAACAGTTCAGAAAGCTCTGTTATTTATTAGACAAAGTGGTCGTACCTGCCAGTGGAGTGATCTGTTCAGAAGACCAAAAATACCAACAACAGACTTGTAAAAAAAACAAACCCAAACACTGAGAATGCTTGCATCATGCATTTGAAAATGGTTGTCTTCTGAATGTCTGTCTCTATGTTACTTTTTTTTTTTTTAACAAAAGTTGAATCAGACTCGGGCAAGCGATGAAGGTGAGCCGTTATAGCTACTACATGTTTTTTATCTTAAGGAGTGTGATGTCTTTATACCAAAAAAGCAGATTCTTTCTACCTGTTGTCTTTCCTTTGGCTGGGTAGGTTTTGATTTTATGGCAGGAAATATTTGACTGTTTGCACTAGTGGGATGCAGCGTTTGACTTTATGACTGCAGCGCAGGTCTTTTATTAGTAAAACTTAATGTATAACAGGATAATTCCGTTGCACCTACTACTATGCTGGCTTGGTTTCGTACAAAATAAGTTTCTACTTCCTTGAAGGCCTTATATAAGCCTTAACTGGGAACGAATCCAGCATGTTCGATCACAATAAAGGAGCTGCTTCAGAACGGGCTCTTCTTTAGAAATAGTCGTAAACAGGTTTATATATAGGCACTGCTATTATACACAAAACTTGCTGAAGAAACGTTTCCCAAGAACTGGTGGTTTTAATGTATGCCACGGGGACTCTGCTCATGCTAATTCGTGAGCAAACCTGTTGTAGTAATTCAAGGTGAGGTTTAAAACACAAGAATACCTCTCAAATCCGTATCTGCTGAAAGGGCTGGGTATTGAATGGCTTTTTGCTGTAAAAAAAAAAAAAAAGGCATTTGATAAAAAGGCTCGGAAACTTCGGCTGGCATCCTACATATGTAAATGCAGGTACCGTGCAGGTTATATTTGGATTTCAGGGTTTTTCAGATCCATTTCAAGTCGGTTGGTAGCAGCCTTGCGTGGTTTGATCCCTCGCTTTCATCACCCATGCCCAATTATTATACATGAGATCCATCAGCCCCCTCTCACCAATAGTGCCTGCAGCTGAGCATCAGCACGTTTGGGAACAATAAAGGGCTGTCATTTGGGAGTTTCTTTCCCTTCTTAATCGGGCAGGACCCAAAATTATTCCTTCGCAGAGCTCACGGATCAAGCTTGTGTCTTGAACAGGTACGCTTACATCTGAGCAGCGTGAGGACTGGTTTTAGGGAGCTTTGTTGCTGGTTTTCATTCAGCGTCGTCGGTTGTGTGCTCTTGTAGAGTTTCGGATAGGTACAGGACAAAACGTGGGAAGACTCCTGCCTTTGTGACTGATTTTTAAGGACAATTTGCTGTTTTGTTCCTCGTTTCCTTTCTAATGAGCTGAATTGTTAAATTATGTTAATGTAAGGAGACACACGAGAAAGGGTGAAGCAATATACTGACACGTTGAATAATTAGATCATCTCCTGCGCAGGAAAAAAAGTCAAGTACGAAACAGGAACAAGAAGTGCCTCCCTCCCCCACTGTAGAGGCACCAGGTCTGGCTCTTTCTGCATGCAGAAGCAGGTTAGACAATTAAATCTTTAGTATTAATTAATTTTTGTGAAATTCCTGAAGATTCCGAGTGTCGTGTTTACTAACTGTCTTCTGTTCGTCTGCTGTTTTCTGGGAGAAGTTTGGAGGCTTATTTCGGAGGGCTGAATTCGTGAGCTGTGTAATTTGTGATGAAACCAAAAAAAAAAAAATGACTGTTGCTGGACTGAATTTGTAAATACCGTAGTGGTTAATCGGGTCTTCTCAGGGAAATTCTTGTGAATTTTGTCCTGAATAGGAGCTAGATCAAGGACGTTTCGTAAAGAGGCACAGGACCATTGTGGCTGCCTTTCTGATAGCGTTTGGCATTTTGGCAAAGCGGTGCTTCGTATTTCTTAAAAGATTTATTTCTTTGAAAGAACTGCTTAATAATCAACAAGATCCCAGCCCCGTGTGAACCTGCGCCTGCGGGGAGGGCTGTGACAGTAGTCAGTCTTTACTTACATGAGTAAGCACTCTTCGTGTGTTAAGTTTACTTGTTTGATAAACATAACACTTTGCTTTTGTTCTCTTACTTAATCACTTCCTTCGAAGAGTTAACTTCCTAAGCAGCCACAGATTAGTTCTCTCAGTTGTTTTAATTATTTTTCTTGTCACGCACAGTGAAGGTCTAGTGTTTGTGAAATGTCTTCTTTTTTTTTTTTTGTCCCCCCTTCCATGGCAGCTTCAGTGATGCTGGCATTGAAAACCCAGCCAAAATTTCTCCCTGTCTGCGGTCCTGTCATGTATTCTTCTATTTTTTCAACCAAGTTTCACCTTTTTGAATGCGAGTGCTGGCGAATAGAACACTTTTTTTTTTTTTTCTCCAGGGTGATTTGAGTGCTCCAGAATTTTGTATTCCTGTAAGGGGTCCGCAAGAGACCGTAGCAGTGGGCTTCCACGTGCTTGCTGCTGAGTAATTTCCTTTTGTATTGCTGACAGGTGACTCAAAGCAGGAGCTAGCAGATGGCTGCATCGTTAGCTGGTGGCCACAGCCTTACGAGATGAGTTTTGGAATTTCCATCAAAGTCAGGATTAGGCTCAGGATATGCCGGTGGCACAGAGCACCCCGGGGGAGGGTGGAAGAAGAGGAAATCATTCATAGCGACTCATCTTGTGGTTGGGTGAGTCAGGGGTCTGCTGTTGGTGGTCAGAAAGGCACGTGGCTGACTATACTGTCTTTGTGTGCTCTGCAGGATGCAAACTGTCTCTGGAAATTAATTCTGCCCTTTTGATTTTTGTCCAGTGAGTTATTTCCAGAAAGGAGTTACTGTATTTTCTGGAATGAGTATTGTGAAATTCTTTTTTTTTTTTTTTTTTTTTTTCAGTGGGCAAGCTTTCAGCTGGTGATTTATCAGCGAAATATTTTACAGGATCATAGTTAAAAGCTCTTCTGAAGAAAAAAAATATATCCTGTGCGATAGGGAAAGTAAAAGCATCTCCGTTTCCAAATGATGAAGGAATAACTGAAAGAGCTAGTTCTTGGAATAGTAGCTCCATTGGCACTCGCTGGTGATTTCCTGTGCATTTGCTGCAAGAATCACTCTGTGATGTGAGTAGGTGGTACTAAAGGGTTATTACGAAACCAATTTTCAACCAGACGTTTTGAGTCATGGATCGGGAAGAGGGATAGCAGCTTCTGAGCTTTCTCTTTGTTCGAGCAGTGCGCCTGAAATGCACATGCAGGATATTCTATGCTTGCATGGAACGAGGCAGGCTGGGCTACTACGTGAGGTGTTCTTCCTCATGCCACTCCATCTCGGGGATGGGAACCGAGAAGGTGGGCTGAGAGCCGGCAGCAGCGTGCAAGGTGCACAAGGAGCCGGTTTCCTGACTGTCTTTCAATTGTAAGTATTTTCTCGTGGTTTTTCCCAGACGTGAGAGACAAAATGGAGTTGCGTCAGGACGGATGTCTGCGCCAAAACAAGGTGGTGGTTTGGAGCAGTTTGGTTCTGTTCTGGAAGCAGATGGGCTGCCACTGGCAGGAGGCAGTTGGCTTCTCCAATCAGAAAAAAAAAAAAAAAAAAAAAAAAAAGGGGTGTTTAAGGGAATTGGTCTGGCTCCTAAATCGAAGGAATTGTTGACCTACTGACTCAGTTATGAAGCATCAGGGAAGCAGTCTTACTGTGGTTTCTTTTGTTGGTGGCAGATTCAGAAGACGTCTGTGAGCGTACGGGTATGACTAGCAAAGGAGAGACGGTTCTTATACCTGCTGCCTGTGGGATTTATTTTGTGCCAGGAAGGAGCTGAGGTGCTGAATACTGAATAACACCTAAACTTTATTTCTGATGCTTCTCCCGATAAAGCGTTGGTAAGTTTATGTACTTCTCATTTTCACTGTTAAGATGATATCTTGCTAAATGTGATCTGAAAGAAAGCTCTTTAACAGCTTTCTGAACGTGGCAAGGTGTATTCTTTTTTTTTACTGGAGCAGCTTTTACAGAAAACACTAGCTGGCCTGACACAGTTTAGGAGTCTGGAAATAAGGGAGAAAACTGTCGGTCAGGTCAACAAAAACAATCTGAAGTTGCTGTTCCCTCCCACTTTTAACCTACAAACCTTTGCTAACATTGGTACTAAGCAAAGGGGGTGGGCCAGCCCTTCAGCTTTGGTATCGTGTCATCCTGGAGTCACAGCTACGCTGTAATTTTCCTGTTACACTTCACTGAATGAACAAGGCTTCAGGCTTGACTTTCACATGAAAATCAGATGTCCGTCCCTGGAATTAAATATAATGATACCGCTCCTAAAATATGCCTAGAATAGAAACGATGTTATTTTTAAGTGGTTCTGCAAATCGCAAGGAAAAGAAAAAAAAAGCTATCAGTTAGTGGTTTCTCAAAAAAACCCCAAATCACTGACACATTATTGGCTAGAAGGAATCACGTTGGCTGACATTAGGTCTGGAAGTTATGCTGCCTGAATTTGCTCTCAACTCTGCCACTGGTTTTGTGAGGGATTTTTTTGGAGGGGTTGCTTCTTGAGCAAGTCATTATTTATTCTTAGTTGTCAATAAAATGAGGATAATGATGTTTAACTTTCCTTCATCGCTTTACCAGTATTTTCACTATGTTTTCCATTTAGAAAGGATGCCGATACGTGATACAGTAGCTCTTGGATTTCCAGAGCGTTGTTTTGAATGCATAGATAATTAGAAGATGGGGAAAGCAGAATAGTGATTTTATTTTTTTTTTAAATTTATCATGCTCAGTGACTGGTCTCCTCCAGGTGCCAGCTGTAGGAATTGCTGGTGCTGTGTCCTAACTGTCCCACCACGAAGGGAGGAATTCACTGCTGCTGTTCTTCCCTGGGCAGTGACACCAGGAGGTGACACCAGGATGCCTTGTGTTCCCAAACCCACTTGAGTTGGCAGTTGTAGTGAGGTGCTCGTGGATATTTTTTTTTTTTTCCCCCTCCTTTCCAAAACAGCAACCAGGAGGGCAGTTGTACACCACACGTCCCTACAGAACTGCAAATAGACCCACTGGTTAAAAAAAAAAAAAAAAGTCAAACCAACCAAAAGCGGAAGGTTTAGCATTGTACTGGATTTCCTTTTCTTAAGTGCTTCCTTTGGATCTTGGGAGAAGAGCTCCAGCACAGGGTGACTTTCTAGCGAGCAGTTGTACCAAAAGGCGTGGGAGGCAGGGTCAGGGAAGAGTCATTTGGTTGTTATGTGGGTGTGAAAAGCCTATGAAAAGGAAAGGGCGGAGGAAAATATTTTACTTGAATTAAACAAATAAAGGAGGACGTTATATGAATTCGATAATCGAAGTTAGATTTTCGCCAAGTGTCTTTGTAAGGTAACTGCGTATCTTTGGAAAATCATTTATTTAACAGTAAGCTTATCAACATGTTCTTAGGGGATTTTTTTTTTTTTTTAGAAAAAAAGCAAGAGAAAACAACAACAAATTGTTTTCTTATCATTTCAGATAAAAAGAAAGGAAGTTGCGAATTTTTATAGCCCCTAAATTGTTAACTGTTAAACCTGTATTGAAGCAGTGGATCAAATTTGCTCAGGCTTACTCTGGAGCAATTTCATTTACTAAGAAATTACAAGCAGGCGGTGTTTGAGGGAGGAGGAGGAGTCTTAGATGTTCAGTTCATTGTTGTGTACCCACCTGTGGGACAGGGAAATTGCTGCTCTTGAAAATCACCTGTTTCAGGGAGCAGGCTGTTACCATTGATGCAGTGAACAGGGATGTTCACACCCAAAGTACTTGAAAAAAATGTATTTTGTAACCTGATTACTTTTTTTTTTTACACGTATGTTTGTCGTATTTGCATTTCCTTGCAGCTTTTAAAATGTCACCTAATATGATAGGGAGAATTTAAAATACATGGTGTAGAAACTACATTTTTCTGTGTTTTCTGAGATTACCTTGATAAAAAGCAGCACATGGAGGCAGCTTTAACAGCACTTTCGCTCTGAGGCAAAGTGCTTATTACATTAGTGAAGGGCTTGATTTTGTAAAAAAAACAAGCAAATGAGCAAAAAAACCCTCTTTTATCATAAATGGTAGCTTTTTAAACACAAGCCATAAACTGCATGTAAGGAAAGCGCTACCACAATCAGAAATTAGATGTGCGGGTGTGTATATGATGTCTTCTAGCAAACCAACACAATGCTGGATGATGTAGTTCTGTGCAGTTACTTGATAAGAGTTCATTTGAGCTGGTCTCTGAGGGATTCCCATGCGAAAGTTCACAGGCAAGGTATAGAGGATTAGTTGGCTTTTTCTTGTTGTTTGTTTTGTAAATTTTTAGAGTTAAGTTCTTTATGGCCCGTAGCTATACAAAGGCAGAGTTAGCAGCTGAAGTTTGCATGCAAAATGGTGAGCTCAAAATTGGACCTGGAAAGGAGGAGCGCTTCCTCTTCAGTTGCTCTACTAGACTGCTAATGCCAACGTTAAAAAAAAAAAAAAAAAAAAAAAAACATGGAGGTATGAGTAGAAGCCACTTTTATCTGTGTGTTTTCAGGGTAGAGTTGTGTGCGATGCTCTCTGGTGTCTTCATTCCCTCACTTGTTCCCCATACGTCTGCTGGCAAAGTGGGCCACCTCTAGGCAGTGCTGCCATGCCGTGCTGTGACTTCGGGGGTTTATTGGTGCAATAAATGGAAGCCAGCAGGTGTGTTTAACTTCTAATCAAAGTTTGGGCACCTGAATTGTAACTTTAAGGACCTAAGCGGGTACCTGAGATTCCCCATATGACCTGTTATTACAGGCTCTTGGGAGAGCGTATATGTAGTTTTATTGCCAAAACATGAGGTTGGCAGAAGTGAGTCATAACTGTGAAGATCTCGGCTTTGCTCTTTGATTTACTTTTATCCACCAAAAATAAAAATATTTCCAAGAATACAGGTAGGTATACGCTGCTCTCCTGTTAGGGCAGAGCTCTCACTGGCTCTTAAGTGTATTTACATAGCTCGTAGGATGTGTTTTTCAAGCTTTAGTATAAAAGGAGCTGTGTATACATTTTATCTAATCTTCAGTGCAGTAGGCATGAGCAATTCCTGGAGAAGGGACCAGAATATAGAGCTCTGCCCCATCTCCTGGGAGTCTCTTTCTCATGGAGTCATACTTGCCCTCCAGTGCTTTCTCTTTATGGCTTTGTGAATTTTGAATTTCTCTGAGCTGGCCCAGCTCCAGTGGGAGGGCAGAAAACAGCCTCAGCCCAAGTTCTGCTTGAAGTCTGCTGGTTCGAGGACTTTGTAAGAGGTGAGATCTGCAGGGGGAAAAGTGCCCAGCTTCCCAGGTGAGCTCCTACCGTGGGGTTAAAGGTGACAGTACTATCTTCTGTGGACATACATTTGGATTCCCGTGGTGGTTACATGTTGTCTTGCAGTTGGTGTGGTTTTAGTGTTATCAGAGCGTACATGATGGATTGAACCACTCTGCAGATCCCAATTCCAAGGTTAGCTTCTTCCACGGTCATTGCTGATGATCACGTGGCCTTGGGGTGAGCCAGCTCAATTTGCTGATCTGGTTAAAAGAACTAGATTTTGCTTCTCCCTTTCTTTTCTTTTGGGAAATTAAAACTGATCTAGCTCACTGCGTAGCTGCATGACTGCTGGTGGCCAGAAGCAGAGGAGGAGGTGGGACTGTCGTTTTGGTGACACCTGCATGAAGTTCAGCTCAACCTGTTCAGGAAACCTCACCTCCCCTGTCTCTTAATCACGGTGGAGCTCAAGCAAGAAACCTTGTTCTCCAAAACAAGCAATCTGTTGATTTTTAATCTTCCCCGTTTTCCTTTTGCTCTGGATGTCAGGTGTCTGCATTTAACTTAAGCATCTGTGTACAGTGAGTAGTTGATGTACTCCTTTTGTACTTCCATTTTCTGTTCAGAGCCTAAGTACTTAAGAGTAGGGTTAATAACATTGTACAGTGGTAAAGAGGAGTCCGTCCCTTACTGAAATTTCTAGTCATCAGTATAAATAAATAGTACTGAAATAATATTTGTAGAGCCAGATCGGCTTATGGCATTTATCAAACTGGCATTTTTTCAGGCAGCATCGCAGATTGTTCTTCTGTTCATACTTCTCACAAAATTTACCTTTGTCTATAATCTCACAAATCACACCCCATCCTAATCAGAGTTGGGATAGAATTTCTATTGGCTAGGGAAAAAAAAAAAAACAAACACCAAACAACATCAAAACACTGCAAAACCCAGCTCTCCAAAGAAGATCTCAGGGCAGAAATGGTTCAGGCAGTGGGCTGCCAGCAGACACAGCACAGTTATCCATGTTGTGAAGGATTATCTGTGTGCCTCTTTCTTCTACTCTTCTGCTTTGGAGATTTTTTGGCTTCTTTTGCATTTGTCTCTTGTTTTTTCCTGATTCTTAAATTTCTTGCTGCGATCCATTTTTCTCATACACGTGCTTTAAACATAAAAGGTGTGCTCGTGCCATATCTCCTTCTGCATTTTCTTCTTTCTGCATGTATGCTTACCTAATAAAGTGCAAATAGCAAACAAAACACATGATCTGCGAAACAGTCTGGTATTTTACCCTAAGGGAGGATTTTCTCAGCACACAAATCAAGAGTAAATAGTTAAAAACGCTGTATAGTATAGATCCAAACACACTAAACGCTTACTTGTGTGTATAAGTAAATTTATTTGCATGCATAAATGTTACAGGGTTGAACTCTATTATCAAATCTGCTGTCAAAAGTTGACCCAGGGCATTTTGCAAGAAAGATGATGATTGTCTCTTTAATTACTTAAATTCTGTTTTGCCTGTTTAGGAGAGCTACTCACAACTCTGTAATTACTGCACGCCTGCCATTCAGATCAGGCTCTCTACTGGCAA